GAACGTGACCTTTAAATCGGGCAGCAAGTTAACACCAAGACATTATTTGAAGATTTATCCCAGGAGCCAAGACAAATCAGGCATAATCCCATTGCTACACCCTCACTGAAGTGCTGCTTCCGGGGTTGCGGGTCTTTTTTAATGCGTTTATGCCTAATGTTTGTGGGAGGAAGGTTAGGGAGAAAAAAAGGAGATGTGAAGGGAGCAATAAGAAAAGAAAAAGGATGAGAAAGAAAAGGGAAAGGGACAGAGAGAGGTACAGGTAGAAAAGGGGGATCCATAGGAAGGAGGCAGGTGGCAAGAGAAACAGAGACAAAAGACAACTTACTGTTTTGATTAGAGGAGGAATGAAGTTGTCTGCAACAGAAGTACTGATTTTGAAAAGATATAATAAACTTTGCTAATAATATCCTTAAGTGTTTCTGGATAGGATAAAGCGTAAAAGAGCAAAGCTTTCAATATGGGGAAAATGAGGGAAAGATGTGTGTATATGTGAGTGGGAACAGAGGAACTGATATAAAAAAGGACATCAGATTTAAATTAAGATATTCCAGCCTGCACAGATGTTCAAGGGACCTTTCAGGGGGCAGCAGGTGGCAATTAAGGTGCTGGATTCCCACATGGCTGACCATGGTTCGAGTCCCAGACTCAGTGGCTTGAAAATCACACCAGGTGCATGTGTGCACATGCCCAAAATCCCAGGAGGAAAATGGAGGAGAAGGGACTGCGGTATGGCCATCCCTCCTGGAGGGTGATTTCCCATCTTCCCTCTCACTGTCTCTGTCTCTTGTGAGCATACATGCCCTATGGCAAACAAACAAACAAAAAAGAACAGGACCCTTGAATGAGCAATGCTTTTTCATTTGCAGGATCCCAAATATCTGAGACAGTAGGAGAAGAGGCTTTGGACTTCCAGCCTTCTTTGAGGGGGAACAGGTAAGAGACTTCTTTCAGTTCATTTCTCTGTTCCTACTATCTACATATCCCACAGTTGGCTTTTCACCCTTTAGCTAACTCAACAGAAGACAGAGCTTAGGCAAAATAATGAGAGCTTCCTAACAGGACCTGGGGCCCTGTCTCTGTCTTTGTTGTCACCCTGGACGGGTTCCCAGACTTCCAAACCCGGGTCCTCTTATTGCTGTCACTGACAGGGACTGCCGCCAACCAGCACTACTGGATAGAGCCTTGGTGACCTGAGATTTCCAACCCCAGCCTAATGTGTACTGTCACAGGAACACTGACTGCCCCAAGTGTAGGCATGCTTCTCAGGCTCTATGTGGACTGGATAATACCCTCCCTTCATGACGCAATTACAGAGATCTACAATGGCAGACTTTCTGTGCTGACAAGGAACTGCCAAGGACAGAATAATCTTGAACTAAGAGGAGCATGACTCAAGACCAGCATTTTGCTGCATTTGGTTGCATCGTTGGACTCCCAAGTAGTTGACCACAGTTTGAGTCCTGGACCCAGTGACTTAAAACTTGGCAGGTATGTCTCTGTGTACGTACCCAAAATCCCAAGAGGAGAATGGAGGAAAAGGGATTGCAGCATGGCCATCCCCCCCTGGAGAGGGATTTCTCGCTTTCTGTCTCTCTGTCTCTGTCTCTCAAGCAAGCACATGACTTTAAGAGCTAAAGGTTCTCATGAATCATCCTGGATATCCATGCCAGAAAATGAAGTTTTACATTTTAGACGGAAACTAACAACTTCATTTTTCTTTTTGAGAGTTTTTTTTTTTTTTTTTTTTTTTTTTTGCCCTGTTTGTTGGGGGTGGGTCGGCTCCCGTGGCACATGTGCAAGCATGCTCAAGATCCTGAGAGGAGAATAGAGAAGGGATTGCAATGTGACCCTCCCCCTGGGGGGTGATTTCTCGCTTTCTGATTCTGTCTCTTTCGTGAGTGCACATGCCCTATAGCAAAAATCTCTCTTAAAAAAAAAAAAAGTCAATTATGCAAGGACATTTCTATGACAAACCATGGAAGGTATTTGGGGAGGAGTCCTTCAAAACTGTGACTGAGCTTCAACCAAGCTGCATGCCCAAATATATACCACCTGTACAACAGAATGCAATTCTGACCCCCGAGAGGAGTAATTGGCAGTGTCTGAAGACAACTCGGTTTGTTACGAGAGGGAGTGACACTGGCATCCAGTCAGGAGAGGCCAGGGATCTGGCTACATCTCCTGTAACACCCAGAACAGTCTAATGACAAAGAATTACATGGTCCAATATATCAAAAGTGACAAGGCTGGAAGCCTTGCTCTCCATTAACGCTGAGTGTTTAGGGTAGGCAAAATGTTAGAGAATCTCTCACCCAACTCTCTCATATTATAAATAAATAACTTAAGACCCAGGCGAAGGCTTCCATGGCCATTTCTGCAGAATTTGAAAGTAACCCCATATCACCTCCTAAAGGGACACTAAACTTGTTTTGTGTATGGAGAACAGCAGGCTGTCAGTCCCCTCACAGTCTATTAGTGTGGATAAATAGAGGTAGGAACTGCAAATATTAAGATCATTGTGTCAGAATGCTCGTGTTGTCAGAGTCAGGTAGTAGAGGTGGTGTATGTGTGTGTGTGTGTGTGTGTATGCACGTGTGGATGTAGTGAGAGATTTTTTGCTATAGGGTGCATGCACTCGCCAAAGAGCCGAAAAGACAGAAAGCAAGAAATCATGCCCCGGGGCAATAACCATCCTGCAATCCTGTCTCCTCCAGTCTCCTCTTAGGATTTTAGGTACACGGGCACATGCACCCAATGTGATATTCAAGCCACTAGGTTTTTTGTTTTTTGGGTTTTTTTTTTTTTTTGAGAGAGATTTCTGCTATAGGGCATATGTGCTTGCCGGAGAGACAGATGAAAAGTGAAAAATCACACCACCACCACCCCAAGAAGAGTGACCATGCCACAATCCCTTCTCCTGCATTCTCCTCTTGGGGTTTTGGGCACATGCACACAAGCGTACCCGGTGTGAGTCTTAAGCCATCGAGTCAGGACCAGCAGTTGGCATAATGGCTATGTTGCTGGACTCCCATGTAGTTGACTGCAATTCAAGTCCTGGAGCTGGTAGCTTAAACTCACGCTGGGTGTGTGTGCGTGCATGCCCAAGATCCCAAGAGGAGAATGGTGGAAAAGGGATTGCAGTGTGGCCATTCCCCAAAGGAGGTGAGTTCTCACTTTCTATCTCTCTGTCTCTCCAGGGAGCACACATGCCTTATAGCAAAAATCTAAAAAAGAAAAAAAGAGTGTAAGGTCCTCCACTGAAAATTATGTATATGGTAATATCCTTGATTTGACTGTCACATACCATATGCATACTCTGAAAAACCATATTGTGTGCTATAGAGATATACAACAACTAAATGTGTGAATTAAAAATCATAAAATAAAATGAATTTGGGCTTCAATTTTTTCTTCAGTCAATAAAGGGAAGTGGCACATAACTTGGCTCTTTCTCTGTGTTTATACTTGACAGAGATAGAAGGTTGTAGGGAGAGGGTGTTTTTATTTTTTATTTATTTATTTACACGTTTTATTAAAGTTCACCTGTTACCCACAGGCCGCAGGCTCCTTATAGAGAAACAAACACCACAATTGAAGCAGCTGGTTTCCAAAGCACCAAATTAAAATAGATGAAGAGGTAAGGAGGAAAAAAAAAATAAATACAAACATCGAGCTAAGACTCCTTCCTTCCTAATGCATCATGGCCTCTACTACACTGCACTCGTGAAATTGACTCCCAATGTAATTAAGCCAGGACTACCAGGCAAAAAAAAAAAAAAAAAAAAAGAATCTCAAATTATTTTGACCCCCAGAGCTATTCTTTTGCAATCACTCAAGTAACTGAGAAAAGAGCCAACTTTTTAATATAAATTTGTTATCAGTACCTACATGGCCCAAGTAATTTCCAACACTACCTGCCCAAGAATATAGAGTCATGAGCTGAGCTGGAAATCAAATGCAGTAATCATCCTCCTTCCCATCCAGCTATGAGATCTATCTTTTATTAACCAGGAAGAGTCCAGAGCAGGGCCAGCAAGAGCACGATTGTGAAGAATGTCTGCCACAGGGACCAGCAGTTAGTATAATGGCTATGTCGCTGGACTCCCATGTAGTCGACCATGGTTCAAGTCCCGGACCCGGTGGCTTAAACTCACTCCGGGCACGTGTGTGTGCATGCCCAAGATCCTGAGAGGAGAATGGAGAAGGGATTATGGTGTGGCCATGCCCCCTGGGTGCTGATTTCTCACTTTCTGTCTCTCTGTCTCTTGCTGTCTTTCTGGCGAGCGCACACGCCCTATAGCAAAAACCTCTCAAAAAAATATAAATAAATGAATAAGAAGAAAGAATGTCTGCCACAGGCATGTGGGCAGAACTCGGAAGCCAAATCCAGCCACCTCACTGCCCACTTCGACTTCCTCCTCGTCTCTTCACAATCTTTTCTTGCACTAGATAATCCCAGTGGAAAGCAGAGTGTATTCCAACAGTCTTAGTGGCTGCTGGCCTTGTAAGAATGAGCTGCAGAGCTCACCAAGGCTGCTGTAGACCACATACTCCTCCAGAGCCCTTACGGAAAAATGGCGGCATTGTGTACAGACATACCCACGTGGATACTCTCTTTGCTGTCATATACTCAGAGCAGTCATGATGTCCTCCAACCCCCCAAAGATCCAGGACATGGCTTTCTTGCCTCACAGGTCTAAAGTGAGCCACAGAGATAGGATAGCACCTTTCACTAAGATCAGAGGGAAGAGAAATAACAACTCTTGGGGTCATCAGGGGGCATGGTGGCCAGGGTGCTGTACTCCCACATGGTTGGCCACAGTTCTAATCATGGACCTGGCAGCTTGCTCCCACTTTCTCTCTCTCTCCCTGTCCCTCTTTCTCTCTCTGGTGAGAGCATGTACCCTATAGCAAATTTTAAAATAATAACAAATAAAATTAAATATATAATTTTTTTTAAAAGAAAAGAAAAGAAATAACCAAAAAGTGATGCTTACTGGATTTCAGCAATGCTGCCAAAACTTCAGTGGCTGCCCTGGGGAAAGAGAAAGACAAGTAAAAAGTCAGCGTTCAGTGGTCTTTTACGTAGTCCTTGGATCTCAGAGCCAGGGAGCTCATTGCTGGTGCCTGACAAGCCCATTATTAACCAGGTAGCAGGCACTCTACTGATCGCACTGCTGTCCACGGAAGAGGTGTTAATGCATAAACCGACCAAGCTATGCGTCCATCTTGCAGATGGGCCTCTGAGGTCCCCTCTGCTGCTGAACATGTCCAACCTTCCCCTCTAAGCCCCACTCTCCTCCAGCCTTACTCATGTGGGCCAGAGCTCTTATCAGTTTCTTGATTTGTACCTAGAAACCCTGGGGACTTTGAGGTTGAGTGGAGAGACCGGGGCTTGGGAGGCTTGTAAACACATCAGTGCAAACTTCTTGAAATGCTCAGAGTCCTAGAGACACTGGATAATATCCACACATTGGACAGGGAAGCCATTTCCTTAGGGTGGAAAATGGTTGTGTCAGAATTTTCTTCCAAATTCACTGCTTTTTTTTCATGAAGGAATTTTACCATCTTGCCAGCAGTAAAAGGAGGATGATAAAAATCAAAATACTGGGGGTCAGAAAGAGGCATGTGACTGCAGTCCTATACTGTAGTTTATCCACGCATTATGAGTTCAGTATATAATGAAGCACAGAGATGTGAAATAACATTTTACAGAATAGTGGTAGCAGAGGTTGGTAAACACAATTGAATTCTTTAAAGTTACAAGTGTCTAGGGACCAACAGATGGCATAATGGCTATGTTGCTGAACTCCACGTAGTCAACTACAGTTCAAGTCCCAAACCTGGTGGCTTAAACTCAGCAGGGCATGTGTGCATGCATGCCCAAGATCCCGAGAGGAGAATGAATTGCAGTGTGGCCATCTTCCCTAGGAAGTGACTTCTCTCTGTCTTTCAGGCAAGCATACGTGCCTTACAGCAAAAACCTTTCCCAAAAGAGAAAAAGCTTTAAGAGTCTGTGCAACACAAGCTACTCTTGAAAGAGAAAAAGCTTTAAGAGTCTGTGCAACACAAGCTACTCTTGAAATATCTAGAAGCACAATAGGAAAGACGCTACCCCATTTCAATGCCCAGCACAGGCGTTCAACCTTTTCTGAATCAATGAAGGAAGGAAAATTTATCAGATGTTGCTCCAGCTAAAGAACAGAGCAAAGACAAGCCTGTTACCTGGCCTGTTTGACTGAGATGCAACAGGGCCCTGTATTGGTACCAGGGCCTAGCACCATCCATCACTAGTGCAACCAGCACTCCAAAAGGCCATTATTGGGACCTCACATTACGCAGTTAGCATAATGGCTATGTCACTTGACTCCCATGTAGTCGACTGCGGTTCGAGTCCTGGACCCAGTGACTTAAACTCATGCCGGGCGTGTGTGCATGCATGCTCAAGATCCCAAGAGGAGAATGGAAGAGAACGGATTGCAGCGTGATCATTCCCCCTAGGGGGTGATTTCTCACTTTCTGTCTCTCTGTCTCTCTCTGTCTCTCTGGGCGCTATAGTAAAAACATCTAAAAAAAAAAAAAAAAAGGCTGTTATTCACACAAACACAAATATGTGATTTGTTGTATTTATATGAACTACCAACAGTAGCAAATGTTGGGTCCAGCACGTGGTGTGGTGGTTAAGGTGCTGGACTCCCATACGGCCGATTGAGTTCCAGATCTGGCAGCTTACTTTCTCACTACCTCCCTCCCTCCCTCTCTCTCTCTCTCTCTCTCTCTCTCTCCCCAAAAAAAA